TAGAATTTAGGGTATCGTTGGATACATCTATGGCAGGAAGCTAATGCATACTCAAAAAGGAATCTCACGAGGGAAGATTCTAGTGTGCATGTCCAAAATTCCCACGAATGTCCATCACTGCTCTAGAGAAATAGGCCGAAGAAATAATGAGAACGCAAATGAAATATTCAATGTGCAAATTTCAAACATGTACAAAATTCATTGATAAAATACATAGAACCATTAGTAATAATATTTGCTATTATGAAAACGTCATTTATAAACGGAAAACAGATTCCTTTTAAATCGCGATGGTCACTCAGGAGTATTCTTTATAGCTTTATAGCTTACAAGTTAAAAGAATTGAATATATAAAAATCTATGAAGTTTCCAACACACGTTTATTAAGACTGATCGTTTCTTCCAATAAATTTCACCGATCTCTTAATCGCTACGTATAGTTTATTTACATCCTGTGCAAGGACACGAACAAAAGAATCGCGTGGTAAAGGGGTGCATTGTTCAATTTTTCATAAATTTATTTGCACTCCGTTTTATCGGACTACAGAAATTACATTGTAAATTATTGGTCTGTCTGTGATTTTCAGGTTTTCACGTTCTCTCCTCTCCAATCCTCACTTCCCTCGTTTCTTGATAACGCTGAAATTGGCCAGGATCCGGTGTACGCGTTTATAAATGCATTCTACAGACGTTTCGTTTCGGTGTAACAAATGTTTGTGGAGCGGACACAATCATCAACAAAGCTGTACATTTTCAAACCTGATGGGGCACATCACATTTAAACGCAAGAAAATTATTTACAGCTAATGCAGATACGCATTTCGTTACTCGATCTACGATGGCACGCTTTAAAAACCTATCAATGCTTCTGTACTTATAATTTGAGCACCTGTAAATATACAGAGTCGACTATTTATATGGGGGGGGGACACCTTAAATATCTCTGGTGTCCATGGATACATGAGAGAATTGTTCAGTAGAGAAAAACTGTTCTAAAAACTGAGAGAAATACTTTTTCTAGCCATTTAACCGTATAATTTTTATATCGATCGATTCTATTACGAGAAGGGGCACGAAAAATCCAAAATAACATTCAACGAAACTTAAAGGGATTCTAACCTTAACAGAGAAAGTAATACTTTTGCCTTTTGAGTTATATAACTCATTCTGGACAGATTAATCCAATCATAAGTTAAGGTTAGAATCCTATCTCTACATTTCCTATTCTCCAGATCAGTTATCTCATAGATCCATAAATCACCGGATAGAAATAAGTGTTATCGTTAAAACGAGCCATCCTTGTATCACTCCTCTGTACCTGGAGCTTTTAATTTGCTTCTAACATTCGATGTAACAAAAACGAAAATAAAACATTAACACAAAGTATACGGTACAATGTTTGCAGCCTAACTTAAAAGTTTCTTAATACAATGAATGGTCTTAGTTACCTAGCAGTTGTATGCGCTTTAAATGCTTAACATTAGACTTTACTGGAAAGTACAAACATGTAAAATGTTCTCTGAAATTTACAACGGATCAAATGTCTCGCAACAAGTAAAATACATTCACTGTTCTCGCAAAAATGTGTGTTAATCTTGCAGATTTCGGAAAAAGAATAACACCGTGGTGTAATGGACCAAGTTTTATAATGCAGAAGCAATAAAAATTTGAATAATTTTTCCATTATCGTAGAATTGATGTACGCAGAATAATCAAATGAATTAAACTTGGCCCATTACACTCGACATTGAGAAATTAATTACAACGATGTAATCGAAGTTGACATCAGATTCCAAAAAGTACAGCTAAAAATTCAATCGTCGTTCCCACGACCAGCTTGCACGCGTTCAACAAGTACAAATCAAGAAACTCTATACATGAGTACGTTCTAGGATAAATGGATCGTAAGTTGAGCATCCATCTAAAGTGTCTAGAAACATTACAGTAAGGCAAATAGTATTCGTACGTAAACGGAAAGGGGAAATCATCGCGCCCTGTATATGGCATATGTTCACTTCCGTTTAAATCCTTTCCGCGAAACAATCTCGCCAACCGAATGATCATCGTCCCTGGCAACGTATTGATTTTTATTTTCAATACGCTTACGAAAGTAAACTCTTTTCGAAACGCAGTTCACCGACGAAACAGACAATTTTCTTAACATTTAAACGAAAAATCCAATGGTTCCAAAATTTGGCACAAAACATTGGCGATTGCGTCTGGATTTAACTGCTTTTTGCTTTTTTAAATGTCGAATGTTCCAGTGACGATTGTCGTTCAGTTTTGCTTCCCTTAATAATATTATTAATAATAATATTCCTGTACCTCACTTTGGTCTACAATTTGCCAATTTATCAATTTCTAAGATACCTGCACACCACTTCCGTTTTAAATTCGCATTATCTCGCTTTGGTTATCCATTGCAATAAGAGCATCGTCTAATTTCGAATCCAAAGTGTTCGATTTAAACGGAAGGTATAAAACAAGGTTCGATGGAAATATGCAGCGAACAAACTGTGATATTTATTATTTCATACGTGAATTTGCGTTTCGTAATTATCGTTTTACAATGCAGCCGATTTTCCTTTCTATGGCACATGCCAGGCACAAGTTTCCCTTCGACTCCAAAATTTCTCTACGCACTAAAAGGCATATTTAATGATAAACTTATAAATCCAATCAACGGCACGTAAAATACATCAAACATTTTAATGCGTGTAAGTGTTCGTATTTCCAAATTGGTAAAATATAAAAAATAAATTACATATTCTACTAAATAATTACCCCGTAAATGTGATCCCTATTCCATACTTTCCGCAATTTACAATTTAGAATACGTTCCGCAACCATCGGCAATCAAAAAGTACGATAGTAATAGGTATTGTTTAAATGATTAGAAATTAGCGTTAACCACCATATACAATCACATATTTAATCATATTAAATGATAAAATGTATCAAGAAACAATATTTAAGTGAATTTCGCTTGATGTACATACACTTTTTGTTATAAATATAGCTAAATAATGTAACAGCACTTCTCTTAGATCCCACATGATCTCGAAAATACGGCCGCGTTTGTATCTTATACAGGGGGTGTTCACCCCTGGGAAAAATTACAATGGAAGATTCTAGAGACCAAAATAAAACAAAAATCAAGAATACTAATTTGTTGATTGAGGCTTCGTTAAAAAGTTATTAACGTTTAAAGTTGTGGCTGTCGAACGGCAATTTCACCACCTACTCGAATTTTTTTCTCGAAAATGCGCAGGATTTCGGGGGTATGTCTGTTCACCAAAAATGATTATACTTGACTCCCGTAACCGAAAATAATTTTTTTAAAACGATTTGAAAAATTTTTTTTTCGCCGAAAAATTTACAACTTCTCGAATTTTTCTCTAGAAAGTGGGTAGAAATTCGGGGGTATATCTATTGACCAAAAATGCTTGCAATGGACCCCTGCAGCCGAATATAATTTTATTAGAACGATTTGAAATTTTTTAATTTTGTCAAAAACTTTCACACCTTCTCGAATTTTTTTCTCGAAAGGGGGTAGGAATTCAAGGGTATGTCTATTGACAAAAAATACATGTAATTGACCCCTGTAACTAATTATAATTTTTTTAATATGATTTGAAATATTTTAATTTTGTCAAAAACTTTCACACCTTCTCGAATTTTTTTCTCGAAAGGGGGTAGGAATTCGAGGGTATGTCTATTCACCAAAAATACTTGTAATTGACCCCTATAATCGAAAATAATTTTTTTAGAATGATTCGTCAATCCACACGCGCCGTTCTACAGGCGGAACTTAAAATATTAATAACTTTTTAACGAAGCTTCGATCAACAAATTGCTATTCTTAATTTTCGTCTTATTTTGGCCTTTGGAATCTTACAATAAATTTTGTTTGGTCCGATCGTGGTAACCATACAGTCTTTCCATTAAAAAACGCGGCCGCGTTTCAACAAAATGCGTCCTCGATCCTACTATCACAGTCAAGTCTCCTGTTTCTCGTATTCCATATGTAATCGCAAATATAATAACGCTTTTGTCCGAACGTGTCTTACGTCTCATAGAAGAACGTATGTGCAGCCGTATCGAAATATATGGTTCAAGCAAAAAATGGAATATTTCACGAAGCAGCTTTTTATTTGCGCCGTTTCCGTCGTCCCGACTCCTCGGAGAAATTAAAGAAACAATTCTTCGTTACGCTTATCGGAACGGACGATGAAAAATTTCGTAGGAACACCTGTGTGTGCGCGAAAAATGCAACTCTTCACCGAAAAAGCGCAGTATTCGATGTTCATAGACGAAAAGTATTTTGTATTCCGCACAAGCTCGTTATTCGTCGTTGCGTCTATCTCTCATCCCAAAAATTTCTTTTTTTTTTTGTTCAGTTGGACACTACGTTGGCGCGACTTCGTCCAGCTGCATCGATTAAAAAGATAGTGCTCCCCAACTAGCATCGAATACACAATAATCAACAAGTAATCGCGGAATATGCATTATTCTATATACATTTACGTATATATATAGAACAATAGCTTTTACATAGCTTTTTTTTTATATTATTTATATTTATATTTATATATATATACCACTCTGTTCAGTACACCCTTATCGTATATGTGGGGCATATATATATACATATACATATATGACTAGTTCAAAAACGAAAATCCCTTCGCTCGCCGTGCGTGCTCGAACATTTATTCTTTTGTATTCATCGAGAATTCATCATCGTCAAAAACAAAATCGTACAATTATTGTTCGCATGCGCGTTTCTCAGCCGCTGTCCGTGTACGTGTGCAATACAAACGATAAGTTTTTTTACACGATATAATTTGTTCTGTCTGCTTACCAAGCATCATCTTAATAAACGCCTGCAAGCGTGACTGAAAGTCGAATCGAGTTACGCATGCTCGATCTAGAAAGATCTTTTACAAGTTTCCTGCTTGTTTTTTTTTTTTCATTTAATTCGTTTTTTTTTGTTTTTTTTTGGAGGGGTGTTTTTTATTTTTTTTATTTTTGGTTTGTTTGCCGTTTTACGAACTGTCTATCGTCAGAACCTTCGAAGTCTAGGTACTAATAATAATAATGCCTATAGAGGACCGTCGAAGCGACACCGTCAATCAGTCGCACCGATCGTGTTCGCGCGCCAAAATACTCGACGCCGACCGACGAAGACAACGACGTATTAATACGAGACGCTTCATACGCTAGCGAGGCGACCGGGGACTCGTATTATTTGGTTGCGTTAAATTATTCAGCTTCGTCGGGGGCTAACTCGGGGCGTCTTCCGGTTCCGCCACGCCGCCGGACACGCTCGAATCCGTTTCACTGCTTTGGCTCATCGTCACCATCTGCTGTGACAACGTCTGCAAACTCTGTCGCACCTGAAACAATTAATTTCACCCAACAGTTCAAATAATTGTGAATTTTTAAACTTTACAATTAGCTCTACGCTCGATTACAGAACAAACGTCGCTGTATTACCAATGCTTCTATAGTTTACTAATTGATAGGAATTTATGAGTTTTGGTCCACATTTCAAAGCATACCGTGCCATATAGGATTCAAACAGAGATTAAGAATTGTTCTTTCAAAAAATTAGTATTTTCATAGGAGTAGTAACAACTGTTAAAATGTTCAATATTTTATACAAATAAACATCAGATTTGTTAGTTTAATATGTATGTACACTACAAGTTATAAGCTTGAGACCACTTTTTTCGTTGTTATTCTTATAATTCTTTATGAAAGTAACGCTTTACAGTCCATGAAATATTTAAAATTTATTGAATAAAGAAACAAGTCAATATTGTCCTGATAAGGAGAGGTAGCACCTGTGGGATCGCCAATTTTATTCAAACTATTCCTGCTAATTTCAGAGCAAGAATACTCATTATTTACAAAGGCATTTAACACTAAATTTTTGAATATACACTGTACAATAACTTAGTTTTCAACAAAGAATTACATGTTTTTAGTTAACTGAAGAATGGATCTTAAACTTACTAATCGTAGTGCGTATAATTTACTTTTTAAGATGAGTACTTCATTTGCCATCAGGTATCAGCGTACCTTCATTATTTGATCAAGATTTGTGTTTAGATAATGCAACAGCCGATCCTGCGTGAAACGTTCCGGCGAAACGAGAGGATGGTTGAGATACGCTGTGTGCAACCTGTCGATGCGAAACATCATCAGTGCCGCCGACACGTAGAGAGCCGCTAAAAGAGCTATCAGAATAGCTATCACTGTGCTAGTTTTCAGTCCGCCCGTGAATAGGGACAACATAACATTCGGTCTGCTGGATGTAGCTGGAAGCAATGGTACCGGCAATGACTCCACTCTGAAACAATCACACAAAGAACAATTAACTCTCGCGTTACAGAACATTGAAACGGTTTACAATGGTAATATTGGGGAATTAAATCATTAAATTATAATAAACGAGATTTTCATTTCTAATTCGCGTTCGTCGAACAAATAAACCGGATCTCCCCAACTCTCAGCGAACTTATTTTTCGATGGTCGTACGTGGCGCCATCTTCAATCTCACCGACTAACTACGAGGAACGCTAAAAAAAAATATTTGTCTAAACTTTGATGATACAAGCCACTCGCACGATCCGTAATAAAACAACAAAAAGATGTGTATTTTTAACTAAAAAATTTCAGGATTAAAATAATCTGAGTGATATTTCAGATACAAATTTCAGACGACGAATAAAATAAAAGTAAAACTTTCAATTAAATAATGAAATTGATTATCTATTATTCGAATTAAATTTTATCAATCACTGCTGTCTAATCTTGTTTACACTCTAAGTATATATTTTTATTAGCTATACAGTACTTCCCTTTGGAATCAGATAAGAGAAAGAAGATTTGTTACATAGAAGAGGGTAGATAGCTTAAATATCTCTACTGCACTAATTCTCAAGATGACGTCCATGATAAATGTGACAATTTTATCCCCACTACTAGAGACTGAAGAGTCGACTAAAATACTGATACCAGTGGAGGAGATAAGCCTTCGCAATAATACTGAGAAACGTTGGAGAATTCTACATCTGTATTACATTATTTTGTATGGTTTTTAAAGAAGATTTATTTACTTTACTGGTGGCGGCAAGCTGGGCCTGGTAATGAGCGAGGGCGTAACACCATCCGTGTCTGTGCAGACGGTCGGGGGCCTGGAATTGAGATCCGTGCCGCTCTCGGACATGCTGGAGTCGTCCTCCTCGGGGTTCACCTCGGAGTCGTCGACCACCAGTGTGTCCGGTACAAGGTGCTTTTGCTCGACCACAAGCGGGAGAATCTTGGGCGACGGTTCTGGCTCCATGGCGGCATCCCAAACCTGTTTCATCAGCTTGAAGGTCGAGTCCCTGGACAGAAGGGAGCAGAATACGTGCCTCTCCTCCTCGGTAGCGATCGCCACCGCATTCGGAATGATTCGCGCGGTCTTCTCTTTGCTGATCTTCAACACCGAGACCGTCGGTATCAGCAGCTTCGTTACGTAGCCAAATACGTTGCTGTAAAAGGCGAAGTAGTTCGGCGTGATGTAGAGGTGCCCTTGGAGCAGGATATCGCCTACCAGCGCACAACTATAGTAGTTCAATACGCGCTCGTCCGCAGCTACCTGGAACCAAGAAACAACAAAGATTACGCACCCGTTCGAACTTGCTTTTCTTATGAGTCACCCAAATCATTTTTACTTTTCCTCTCTCACGAATACAACCGGAAACCAAAAATAACAGCGAAAATTTTTATTCTAATGTATGAAATTTTTCGACGAAATTGGAAAATTTCAAATCATTCTAGAAAAATTATATTTAGTTACAGGGGTCAATTACAATAATTTTTGGTCGATAGACTTAACCCCGAAATCCTACCCAGTTTCTAGAAAAAAATTCGAGAATGTATGATATATTTCGAGAAAATTGAAAAATTTCAAATCGTTCTGGAAAAATTATTTTCTGTTGCAAGGATAGTTTACAATCACTTTTAGTTATTACACATACCCCCGAAATCCTAATCACTTTCGAGAAAAAAATTCGAGAAGGTGTGAAATTTTACGGCAAAATTAAAAAGTTTCAAATCGTACTAAAAAAATTATAATTAGTTACAGGGGTCGATTACAAGTATTTTAGGTGAATAGACACACCATCGAAATCCTACCCACTTTCGAGAAAAAAATTCGGGAAGATGAAATTTTTCGGCGAAAAAAGAATTTTCCAAATCGTTCTAAAAAAATTATAGTCGTTTGAAGGGGTCAATTGCAATTATTTTTGATGATTACACATATCCCCGAATTCTTACGCGTTTTCGAGAAAAAAATTCGAGAAGGTGTGAAATTTTACGGCAAAATTAAAAAGTTTCAAATCATACTAAAAAAATTATAATTAGTTACAGGGGTCGATTACAAGTATTTTTGGTGAATAGACACACCATCGAAATCCTACCCACTATCGAGAAAAAAATTCGGGAAGATGAAATTTTTCGGCGAAAAAAGAATTTTCCAAATCGTTCTAAAAAAATTATGTTCGTTTGAAGGGGTCAATTGCAATTATTTTTGGTGATTACACATATCCCCGAAATCTTACGCATTTTCGAGAAAAAAATTCGAGTAGGTGGTCAAATTGAGTTTCTACAGCCACAACTTTAAATGTTAATAACTTTTTAACGAAGCTTCCATCAACAAATTGGTATTCTTGATTTTTGTCTTAGTTTGGCCTCTACTATCGCTCATTAAAATTTTTGCCCCAATTTCCCACGAAACTTTGCCAACATATTTTGAAAACATTGTTATATAAATATGTTTGTTTCTTCCTAATATTGCATTGAAAATTAGGTAGATTTGCACCACCTATAATTTCCATTAAAACTACATGCATGCAATGCATATTCTCAACAGTGTGATGTCATATTTGATCTCTAGCGCGCCTCCATGTTTGAAACAAAGACTCGAAGAAGAGTTCTGTCTTCGACTCATTTGCATCGGTAATTTAAATATGTCAAGGGCCGCCTACGACGTCCACGCTTAGTTTACAATTATCCATCGATAGCCAGCCTCCTATCGCCGACAATTTCAGATGATTAATCCAATTGGGACTTATTAAAGTGCAAATTATGGTACCTGAGAGAAATGCCTGTGGAATTTCTTCTGTCTCGCGCTGCTGGTAGTCGTTGGCGACGATGTAGACGAAGATCTGCTAACCTTTCCTGGAGTCTGTGCGATACTACCAGCTGCCATTGATGGTGTACTTCTGCTGAGCGGTTTTGAAAGATGACTGAGAACACAAACGACACAAACTATAAAGCAATCGATCGACCAAACAATTTTACACGAAATCAAATATTTTCAACCACAATATTTAATGAAAAATAAAATATTAAGTCTGACAGAGTTATCGTGTATTTAACCCTTTAGAGTTTGGATGATATCTCTCCTGGACGACTTCTCGATCGCAGATCAGCCGTATATCCACCGCGTAGATCTTCATATTACTCATGGATCGCGTCACGCTGACCATCGCTTTATTTTAAATGATTGCATAAAACATATGCACCTCAACGAGTTGCTGCTCCTCTTCCGGATCCTCGGGCTCCATACATCGTTGCTCCATATGTCGTATTCCTGAGCGACCATTTTACGAATTGGATCGAACGCACAGATCTGATAGATCTGACAGATAAAAATCTAAGAGGTCTAAGACTCTGCAAATCTGGTTGGTGTCTGACGTCGTTCATGCATCGACGAAACGAAGCGTTACCTTTTATGGAACTGGCACCAATTCGTCAACAAGCACCCGGGGAAATTATTTCGTTAATTGCGGTACGCGTACGGGCAAGTTGACTTAATGTTAATTAAGGTCGATCGAAGGCGAACGAGGATGCGGCGCGAGTAATTGGATCCGTTGGAAAACATCGCACGAAGTCAACTTCTTTTCATCGAGCGCGGTTCTAGCGGGAACGGAAGGGTTGTCGCGTCGAAAACGCAACAATTCGTCCGCCTCTAAAGGCTCAGAGATGAAAGAAGACCGTTCCTCTTAGGTTGAGAACGTCGGAACAAAAGAGTCACCATCATCGAGACCGGAGAAAATAGTTCCCGCCGCGACGAGAAAGCTTGGAACAACTATTTAGCGTCACTGAGAGAGTTAACTAGCGAGAAACACGTTCGACGATCGGTTTCCACGGTTTGACGGATCTATTCTAGCTTTTTAAACACAGAGCACCCGATGGCAATCGCGATCACGGTTAGACTATCGATCGTTCGGTGGACGAGTAAAGAATCGTGACGAGACCGACGAAGGCGTGATCGCCAATGGTATCGATGAGCTCCCGGGTGTTGATAATACCTGACAGGATATCGTAACTTTCTTCTACAGACGCACGTCGATTAGAGGAATTGCTAGAATAAAAATTCTCTGATAAGAAACGCTGGTCTCTGGACAATCGTCGATATATTGCAGCGAGCAACTGCTGTGTAGCGACTGGGAAGATTAGACGCGTGTTTAGGCATATTGGAACAATTTTAATGGGAGATTCAAGACGAAAATCAAGAATATCAATTTCTTAATTGAGGCTTCCTTAAAAAGTTATTAAAAAATTTCTAATCGTTCTGGAAAAATTATATTCGGTTGCGGGGGTCAATTGCAATCACTTTTGTTGAATAGACCTACCCCCGAAATCCTACCCACTTTCTAAAAAAAAATTCGAGAAAGTGAAATTTTTCGGTGAAATTGAAAAGTTTCAAATCATACTAAAAAAATTATAACTAGTTACAGGGGTAAATTACAAGTATTTTTGGTGAATAAACATACCCCCGAAATCCTAACCACTTTCGAGAAAAAAATTCGAGAAGGTGAACAAATTTGGTGAAATTGAAAAGTTTCAAATCATATTAAAAAAATTATAATTAGTTGCAGGGGTCAATTACAAGTATTTTTGGTGAATAGACCTACCTCCGAAATCCTAACCACTTTCTATAAAAAAATTCGAGAAGGTGAAATTTTTCGGTGAAATTGAAAAGTTACAAATCATATTAAAAAAATTATAATTAGTTACAGGGGTCAATTACAAGTATTTTTGATGAGTAGACCTACCTCCGAAATCCTATCCAGTTTCGAGAAAAAAATTCGAGAAATTGTAAATTTTTCAGCGAAAAAAGAATTTTCCAAATCGTTCTAAAAAAATTATATTCGTTTGAAGGGGTCAATTGCAATTATTTTTGGTGGATATACATACCCCTGAAATCTTGCGCGTTTTCGAGAAAAAAATTCGAGTATGTTGACAAGGATATTATCAAACAGGTGGCAACGAAATGGCGGATATTGCGCAGGTGAAATTCTTATTTTGCGCTCTTTAGTTCTTGTATGAACAGGTGTCATGCTATCTCGCGATATGTTATCGAATGACTAATAGATTTCAGACATTTTATATAAAATTTCCAATTATTCATAACGACATATTAATATCAGATCTGTTAAAATTTGACGAAAATCGATACGAAATTCAGTTGTTTGCTAAATTGCTTAATTGTAATCATCCCGACTGATTTCCAAATGCATTTTATAGGTAGTGTCTAGACGTTTGTGCAATACCTGAAGAATCTTTGCATAGAGAAGGTCAGATGAGTTTATTGATACGGTTTCTTGGCATTTATTCCAACAGTACCGACATAATACCTCAAAATATACTAAACGTAATATTTGTTGCAACGTGCGCAGGTGTTCCGATGCGAATTTTCAAAGAAATTGATATATTTTAAATTTGAAGGATTAAATTTAAGAACATTTATATCTGACGATATCTCTGACGTGGAGGAGCTTTTGAAACTCACATTTTGATGATAAACAATCGATATTTTGATTGAAATAAACAAAAGAAATGTATAAGTAAAATCAAACATAAATTTCAGTCACGCAAAAGAAAATTCATCTATCATATTTCGCCCTCCCTGTCTCTCTTTAAGTAATTATCAATGATTAATCTCTGCAGTAATTAGATATGTTAATATTGTGATTATTTTACAGCTTTGTATTTCGTATCTTATCTTAGAATGAATTCAATTTTTCAGATACCGAATAATCCATAAATAACATCTATAAACAAGGAATTTGAACGGGTGATAATTGCTACTTTTGGCGATAATGCAGACGACAAAAGTGTATTTAAACAACGAAAATCATTTTAGACAGTTTATACACGTATTCGACGCATTCACTGCCATAGTGGTCACCGGTGACCGTCACTTAAAACTTACACTGTTTTTTTTTCGATTAAATCAGGCATATCAAACACATTTTCGTTCCAATGGTCAATCTTCATTTTATTAAAATATTTTAACGCTCATTTTTTAATTATAGCATTCTGTTGCGAGCAAACACGTGTAGGATTGGCAGGAAAGTAATAATTTCTACAGAAATAAGCAAAAGGATACATTTATTTACAGAAAAGCTTACATCGATAGAAAAATTCATCTTAAATAACGTTATTTCATTTTATTCCTTTTCTTTAACATACACCAAATTTAATATAAAATTTTGCATCAGGTCATTTCGCAAATCTGCTCATTTCCGTTTAAATAAAAAAAAAAACGTAAGAAAATATTAATCATCCACAGCGTGACAATCGTGGATAATTTTAAATCGTCGTTAAATTAATTTATCGATGCCTCTTTAATAAAAATCAGAGTATTCAAACAGAAATTTCGTATCAATTTTAATTAATTAAATTTAAGTCGCTAAAGATTTCGATTTTCAACAGATTATCTTAACTTTTTTTATAAAAGCTACCATAAATTTTATTGATACAATGCTCTGCTTTGTTAAATTCGAAAAACAGATAAACTCAAACTTCAAACTTCGAGTTAATAGTTAAACAGATTTGTAAAATGACCTAATATTTTCAAAACTGTACAAATATATCTGATTTTGATTTTCCAAGTTCTATCTTCGTTAATGTGAAAAGCTATTCGCGTAAACATGTATCCCTAAACATAGATAGCGTGTGAAAAAAAAAAGTATTAAAAAGATTTAATTGGTTCTCTTCGTAGATACTGTATCAACCGAACAAATAATAGTGAATTTTAACTAAAAAAAAAAAAATGGTCGAGCGTGTCGCGTGTTTGACATGCCCAAATTAAACGGTAAATATCGATGAAACGCAGCCATTAACGAAATCGTGTTGACGTGAAGCCTGTTGGTCCTGCGAGACCTTCAGGTGGAGCCAAGATTCGTGTTGGATTCGGGGTCCATCAGAGCGAGCAGATAAAGTCTGTTCTGCGGATTATGGCCGTCAAGGTTTATTGGGACAGTGGGAAAAGCAACACCACATATTACGAGTTAGTTTGCTAGCTCAAAATTCAGACTAGGATCGTCAAAATATCGAAAAACTGAGACAGACTCTTTTCTCTTTGGACTTTGCCCAAATTCGTCACTGTCTCGAAACTGGACTATGAAACCCAAGTTGTAGGCTACCCATACACCCTATACTGCACGTCCACGACTAGAGAAAACTAAAAAGAGACCCACTCACCTATCGTTACATCTCAAGGCCGTGTGGCTTGGACTCCTCGGAGGCTGAGAAGTATTAGCAGTGGCCACAGTAAGCTGGGAGCCGCTAATCGACTGCTGGCCAGCTTGTTGCCCACCAGGGACTACTTGAAGAGGCGTGCTGGGCGCCGATCGTGCTCCTATGGACCCCGCAGACCTACAACAAACAGAATCCATCGATCAACGCGCCATTTCTTCAGTAAATCCCTCAACTGGTAGTCAACTGGTCATTACAGTAATTGAGATCGCCATTTCGTTCGAAAGTAGAATCGGTAGCGATTTTTTAGCTAAAACTAAGACACTTAACAACATGGTCAATAATCCTCTTACTTTTTCACCCCCAAAAAATGCTTTATTTCAGGTATTTACAGTGGTTTTACCCCCTTGATAAATATTCAAATTGTCAACAGGTCAATTTTGGTGCGTTTCAATGTGAAAAATTCTTAGAACGTACCTAGCCCTGGTGACCGGGCTCGAAGAGAAGCAAACATCGATCAAGGCTCGCGTTTCGAACTCCATTTTGTTAACTCTTCTCTTACGCTTGTACCGATTAACTCGAAGGCACGTATCTCCGAGAGGCGACTCGCTCAAAGCTCGTAGGTAATCCAGTGTCAAGAATGATTTTCAAACTGCCCAAAAATCAAGTTGAACTTAGATTCGCGTACGTATGCGGAGCAGACGTCGAGCTGCGGACAAATGCAGTGCGATGAACACTGTTTTCGTGACAAAAAGAGAAACCGGAATGTGCAGAGTGGTCTACGTCGAACGACGAAACTTCGTGGGAAGTTTTACGGTGAAGGTGACTTTTCGATAAAACAGTTGCTTTTCTCTCTTGGTGGTTCAGTCGAGAAACCTTTGATTGTTCCTAACTCGAAGGGTTACTCTTGTCCTAGTAAATCCCACGACAGAAAAGAACAATTTGTGTGTCGATGTGGATAAGTGGTTTGAAAAGTTCCTTCGAGATCAGCTGAGGATTAATCGTCGTCCAGCGACGATTGTAAATGAGAGCTCAACGCTTGATCGAACGTCAAAAATGGAGATTAAATAATCCAAACGGGATTTCAGTAGAAACCACGAACGTATCGATGCTTTTTCAATATCACCCTGGCCGAGGAGCGCATCTTCTCTCCGAAAGAGCTCAACGCTAGGCGAGCGATGAAGAAGATACTCATCTCTGACGTAACGAGCTAAGAATTTATTATTCGACGATCACCGTTCGTGACAGCGATCAGGAATCGTTGGATCCTTCGATCGATGAAGCTGAAGTCGAAATCGAAGTAGAATCTGAGGAGCAAACGCGTGTTCCACGGACCAGCCGGGAAATCAGACTGACGATCCAACAGGCGTAGCCACACGGCCTGACCCATCGATGCCCTTTCGATCCTTTGAATAATTAACAAACGCACCGCGACTTTGCGCGATTATTATATCTATACACCCCCCCTGCGAGTGTATAAGGAAACGCGTTTCTCCACGATCGATCTCCGGACTATAGAAAGCAAAGAACGCGTGGTGGAAGGAACAATCCAACCGGAAGTAGGGGTCTAACAACGCTATAAACGTGATTGTACACGTACTACGCCGTGGATCAAGTTACGCAGCGTGTATAGGCCGCTTTTACGTATCTAATGGAAAAGGTACACGTGTACGAGCGTTTATGACGATAAAAAATGATAGATATTTCGTTCACGAGTTATAGTAGTCCCTATTGTTCGCGAAATCATCCTCATCAACACCTGACACTGCATCGACGAAACAAACGTTGCAAGAAGCTAATCATACTTCAAACATGGGAAAACGAAGCTTAAAAATATGAAGAAACATTACGAACTGCTTAAATTCGGGGAAACTAAATTTCGATATCAAAGAAGAGACAATACACCGTCGAAGGAAGCAGACAGGTCATCTTGTTGCATAATAATGCAAGGCCATACACTGCAAGATCAACAAAGAGTGTCATATATGCATCCCAAACGTGGCAACGACAGATTGACATCGGTTTCGATCTCTTCAACGCCACCTTACAGATTTACATTTTAAAACAGCTGAGATGACATCGATAAAAATATCAAATTTATCACTTAAAATCCCCAATGTTCTCCCATTATTATAGAAAGCAATGGAGATTATTTTTAGTGAACAAAAATAATAAAAATTTGATTTCACTTCTAACTATAACTCTTCTAACGCTCAGAATTCTAATATCTATTTAATATCATATTTTTTTAGTTAGAACGTAAATGCAAAAAGTTTTGCAAGACAGCTGCTTGGAAAGTTGACCCTGAATAATGTTAACGTGGTCAAGACACAAGAAATGACAAGTGCGATACTGAATTATTAAACTCGTTTTACACTCTAAAATGTTAGCTAATATCGAGGACATTTCTTCGCAAAAATGCTTCTAAGTTGATGAAATTAGAAACGATCTTCGATCTCAGCCAATTTCTTTATTATAACTGTTTATTAGAATATTTAGTATGATATTGGAACGTGTTGATCAACAACTGAAACTCAGTGACTAAACGACTGTGAATTTTTATTCGAATAAAAATTTTTCTAATCCCTATATTATCTTGCTTTACTTGGTTCATGAAACAGAAAAGGTAATGCATGGTTGCCCTAACGATTCCAATTACTTTCTGCAGCCACGGTTTCTTTTTCCTCCGTTTCGCGGTTCATTGGAGCATTGATATTGCTCTCACATTTATGGTAAATGATGTATATACGTATGTTCAATTGGGGACGATGCGTCAGTATTTCTCCGCCATCTTCTTTATTATTGCTCGCTTTTGGGCGATCGTGCCTTACAATTCACGTCCTCTTTAAACACGGCCTCTTATTGATGCGCAGCACGAGAGGAACGGTCGACCATTTGGACCCGTGCCAGGCAATCCGATTCGGGGTTGCATGTACATATTTTCCGCGAAATGGCCAACCGGTTAATAGAAAGACGCATTCCGCTTCCGTGAGGAGAGCGCGAAATGTCTATCGAAGATTCAAAACGTTCCAGATAGAACACCTTTCGATCCAGACGATTCGAAACTGTTCATCGTTGCTACGTCGATCGTGATTCAATGTTTATTTTAACACTTTACCGACCGATAGCGGTTGATTAATCGCCTATCGGTCGGTAAGCGTTGGTCGGTAAAAAAGTTGATTAATACGCTATCGGTCGGTAAGCGTTGACCGGTAAAAAAGTCGATTAATAGGCTATCGGTCGGTAATGTGTTAAAAGAAAGTAAATTGAATTGTTGGATCAGAAAAAAAACAATTGAAAAGCACGTTGCACCAAGGATAGACTATCCAGCAGTTGTTGTTGCGATAAAACTGATAACTTTGAACTTGATCCAGCCGTGAGTCGTAAATTTCTAATACACTTGAAAGGAATTAATTAAATTCTTCTATTAATCTTGGTATAATTCGTAAGAAAACGCATATACGCAAATGACTATGATCAGTCTTTATCTTATACCACCTGAAGGCCATATGAATGTTGTAAAACTTGTACCATGTCCTTACAATGTCAATAATCCACAACGATATGACGTATACCGTGCATTATTGAAATGCAGCAGGTGTGCATCGTTGCAAACGCGTTTCGAAGGCCGCGAAGCAAAAATACAACAATAAGACACGCGGTTATTATCTGGTACATTATACGAAACATCGACAAATACGTAAATACATAGATAGCGATGCATACATGATAACGTACATGTAGCATAAGAGTTTGCTAATATTTTTGCGTAATTACAAATGCATACAAGGTGTTCAAGAATATAAATTTTTTACCTGAGGCTTCGTTAAAAAGTTATTAAAAAATTAATTTCATATCGTTCTGGAAAAATTATTTTTGGTTGAAGGGGTCAATTACAATCACTTTTGGTGAACAGACGTACCATCGAAATCCTACCGACTTTCGAGAAAAAAATTCGAGAAAGTGAAATTTTTCGGTGAAATTGAAAAGTTTCAAATCATACTAAAAAAATTATAATTAGTTACAGGGGTCAATTACAAGTATTTTTGGTGGATAGACATACCCTCGAAATCCTTTACACTTTCGAGAAAAAAATTCGAGAAAGTGAAATTTTTCGGTGAAATTGGAAAGTGTCAAATCATTCTGGAAAAATTATTTTCAACTGCGGGGGTCAATTACAATCACTTTTGGTGAACAGATATACCATCGAAATCCTACTGACTTTCGAGAAAAAAATTCGAGAAGGTGAAATTTTTCGGTGAAATTGAAAAGTTTCAAATCATTCTGGAAAAATTATAATTAGTTACAAGGGTCAATTACAAGTATTTTTGGTGAATAGACCTACCCCCGAAATCCCACCCACTCTCGAGAAAAAAATTCGAGAAGGTGGAGAAATTGCAGTTCGACAGCCACAACTTTGAACGTTAATAACTTTTCAACGAAGCCTCAATCAACAAATTGGTATTCTTGATTTTCGCCTTATTTTGGACCCTAGAATCTATCATTAAAGTTTTTTCCAGGAATGACCGAACACTGAAAAAAAAAAATTTCAAATTCTTCTAGAAAAATTATTTTCTGTTGCAGGGGTCGATTACAATCATTTTTGGTCAATAGCCATACCCCCGAAATCCTGCGCATTTTCGGAGAAAAATTTATGTTAAAATTACATATTAATCTCTCTGGAAAAACGGAGGCTATAAATGAATATTGTTGATTTCATGCATAATGATGACTCGAATGTGAATTATTTAAGAGAGAACTTGAAATATGCAAGACGCAGGACGCAGAACGCAAAACAGGAGCGTATATCTTCGAGACGATTAAATTTATTCGTGATAAGGTAAAGGAAATAAAAATAAACGAGAAACACGAATATCGGGATTCGGATTTTGAAATTCGACGCTCGAAGACAATCGAATTCAGCCCGATCGCATACATGTGCAATTATGCAAATGTAATTGTATGCATTTCCTCCGTGTTGCTTGCGTTTGCATGTTTTCACTTGCTTTGCCCGTAAACAGATGGACATCCGATTACGCGGTTGCACGATAGCTATTCGTCAGAGTTTGAACGCCCACTTGGTGGATCGTGAATGCAAACAACAAAAGAAAGAGGTATTTTTATTCGCCAAAAATGATTTGAAATTAACCAAATTAACAACTTTTTCACTATTGTTATAA